GTATAAATGTAAGAAAAACAGCTGCATCAAGGTATAATACAAATGCCTGACAGGTGTGCTCAACTGTAACAGAATTAAAAGTTATTATACAGATTTGTAGAAAATAGTAGGAATGATTTCCTGAAGTGTTCTTTTTGGCAGTGAGGTTGTGTCAGTCTGAGGGAGAGTGTGGAGTGCAGTGGGTGTGATGGTTTATCCATGATGGAGAGCAGTTTGTTCAGTGACCTCTCTCTCAAATGCCTCCAAATTCTAATTAATGATGTTTCCAAACTTGTGGATTTGTTTGTTGATCCTGCTGGTATCTTTGGGACTGATGCTGCCCCACCCAGCAGACAACAACAAAGTGGTGCTTGTTTGAACTGTCAAATGTGCAAACATATAAGATCGTGACATTTGTATATATTATATTATATTATTTTATACGGCATATAGATGTCGGCGCTCATAGTGCCCTAGGCAATGTTTATATAAAGTATCGTCAAGATTTGCCACTCGACTAGGAGGACAACCTACAAACATGCACTATGTCTATAACATTCATAGTTTTGCTTACAATTAATTTGGAGCAGTGACATCATACTGTAATGATCAAAGTATTTAGAACAGTGAGTATTTTTTATGGACTTCTTTTCCATGACCACTGACTGCACATAAAGTAATGCACCCATCACTCATCATTTTACAGCTGCCTGGTATAACTGGAGAACATTCCAGGATCTGGTTATAAAGGTTGACTTGAATGTTTTCCCTCTTTATCACATAAAAGTCAACACAAGTCTGTGAGCCTCACCGATGTTTGATGTTCTCCATTTATCACATTGGTGCTATGTTTCCTTGTTTATAGAGGCCATTACCGTGTTAATCATTTTACTCTATAACATCCTGAAGGCACAGAAAGGACAGATAATATTGACCTCTGACAATATCCAGCTGCTGCTTGTGAGCATGACTCCAGGTACTGTTGACATTTAGGTCATTGCATAGACTACTCTGGTGTGGTTCAGAATGTGCAGCTGTGCTTATTTCCAGCTGTAGCAAGCCTATTGTAGTAGTTGGGGGAGTCTCCTAGTGGGTGTGTGTGTCAGTATAGCGTGGCAGCAATTTCATGCAGCTCGTGTTCTTGTTCTTGGTGGTCTGGTATT